TCTTTCCACCCAACCCTATCCCCAGATACAAATTAATGTGCACAAATCATGACAGTGGGCTTATTTTTCATGTTAAAAGTTTTAACCCAGTCAGGGAAAAAAGTTTCATCAACTTCTAAAGGACATGCTGGTTCATGTAGTCCCAAACCTACTGCATGAAACAAATAAGAAAAAAAAAAAAGCTAGTAAAACATTAAGTCAGCCAATTAAAAAGTCAAGTAATGCTCTGTACTGCCATGCAGAAAATACAAGCTGTAGCTTGTAAATGTGACAGGAGTATAAAGAGCACAGGAAGCAGCAAGACCAATCTCTCAAGAATAAAGGCTATATTAGAGACTTTTGAGGGATCTGTTACATTCTCTTGTTTCTGATTAAGCCATCAAGTTGCTGGCCGTAGCTCCACTGCTACAAACTTATTATGATGACTGTGAAAGAAGGGAAAGGAAATGGGGAAGGAGAAGTGAGGACTAAGCAAGTGATGATATACAGCTATTGGAAAAAAAAAAGATACAGAAGGCACAAATACTAACATCAACTTCAGTATGTGACCCCTTGTACAGTACACGCTGCCACACTCTTGCTGATTGAGTTTCCTCTTGGAACTCTCTGTACATCTTTGGGGTTTCTTCCATGGGATTGCAGGCCCTTTCTACTTACATACTCTATATGCCTTTAAGTTCTTTTAGATCCTACTTAGCTCTAAAATTCTATTAGTTCAATCAAAGAATTCTGTAAAGTTTGAGGTTTTTGCTCTAGATCTGAAAACTATGGTGTTTTATCTAACCTCTCGAACTCCTCAAAAAAACATTTTGTCTACATTTGTTGCCTTTGTTTCATCTCCTCTCACTTACTCATTTCAAAACTTACAATGGTCTGACTTCTTACTTCATCACTTACTTGAAATTCTGCCCTTTCCAAAGTCACCAATGATTTCTGAAGTGACAGATTTGATGGCCTTTCTAAATCTCATACTTCTTAACCTCTTAGCTGCATTGGACACTACTCACCCCGCTCCAGAGACTCATGAATACTCTGTGGTCCTCTTCTTACAAGTCCGATTGCTCATCAGTCTTCTTTACTGGATCACCATTTACAATATCACTAGTCACTGAGTATTACACTAAGGCTCTGTCCTAGACTCTCTTTTCTTCTTTCTCTTTTTCTCTAACGTGGTGATCTCATCAGTTCACATGGATTTAATTATCTATCAATGCTGATGACTCCCAAATCTAAATCTCCAACCCTACACTCTTTTGCGTTCCAGCTCTACATTACCAACTATTTACTGGACATTTTAAACTGAATTCCCCTTAGATATTTCAAACAGAGAATATCCAAAACTAAGCCTTTTCCCTAAATCCACTCTTTTTTTTTTTAATTTCCCTATTTCTCTTGACAGTACCATCCTCCTTTAAGTCTCACTGGCAAGTAACTTTGGGGCCATTTTCAATTCCTTTGTCACTCCTACAAATCTCCTCAGTCCTTATCCCTTCGCCCTTTCCATCTCTCACATCTTCCCCCTTTTCTCCACTCACACTGCTACCATTTTAATTTGGACCCGCATCACCTATTGTCTAGATTTTTGCAAAGACCTCCCAAAAAGTCTCCCTTCAAAATAATTTTTCTTAATTATTAATCTATGTCACAACCTTACTTTAACTCCCTATTATTTTCATGACCAAATATGAAGTGTATATTTAGCGTATTTGCATAGATTTAGTATTTAAAGACCTTTACAACAGGTTCCCAAGAGAACCTTTCAACTCTGTGCACACTGTAATACAACCAAACCGGTCTTGCTGTTTTTCACACATAGCATGACTTTGCTATCTCTAATGCCACCTTACCTTTGTCTCTTGAAAGCCCCAGTTTCCTTCAAGAGCTCTTCACTGTCCCTGCCCCCAAAGCTGCTAGTACTTTCCTGACAAAATCACCTTTTATCTATTTTATATATGCATACCCCTAGTTAGACAGTAAGTGGGGAATGTTTTCACTATTTTTTTATATCGCAGCATCTAGCACAGTGCCTGGCACATAGTAGGTGCATACGAAATGCCTGATTAATTAACTGACCTGTATTTTTACTGGTATAGAACACACCTAATGAAGAAACCTCCTGTACCAATGCACACAGGCAACTACTCTCCAATTTATCATATTAGAGAGTTGTCTGGTGAACCAGAACAGTGACATGTATCACATAGGTGTCAGAAGTAGGTCTTAAACTCACTTCCTCACTCTGAGGACTCACTTTTTATCTACCATATTACATTTCCTCATTTTAAAGGACTTTTTGTTTTGTTTGGAAGAGTGGGAGGGATGTAGCTCAGAACTGTGATTTCATTTGTCTATGGGAACTTCCAGGGTAGAAACTCTCAGCAACTGAGAGGTTCATTAAATTACCCAGGGACACATGGTCAGAGGTAGAACTTGACCTCAGGTCTCCCTGAATACACAATTGGCCTTCTTTCCAACTGACATACTGCCTCTCACATATGGTTAAAGAAAATTCCTGGCCAGGTATGCTGACACATACCTGTAATTCCAGATACTTAGGAACCTGAAGCTGTAGGATCTCTTGAGCTCAGGAGTTCTGAGCTTCGGTGGGCTGTGCCTTTTGAGGTCTAATCCATTAGATTGTAAACTCCTTGAGAGCAAGGACTGTCTTTTCATTAATTGTAAATGTGTTGTTTATTGTAAATTGTAAAATGTAAACTTTATTCATTGTAAATGTAATTAATTATATTAATTGTACATACATTTTATTAAACATATTGTGTTAAGCACAATGAGGCACTTGATAAATGTTTATTGGACTGGATTGGTCTGCAGTAAATTCAGCATAAATATGATCAGTGTCTAGGAGTAAGAGGCCACCAGGCTGCCCAAGTGGAGGTAAACCAGTCCAGGCTGGTAATGGAATAAGTCAAAGCTACCATGATGATCAATAGTAGTATTATGCTAATGAGTAGCTCTAAAACTTCCATCCTGGAGGCAAGACAGGTGAACCTAGTCTTAAAAACAATTATTCAAATTTGTATTAATTTATTATACTGAGAACTTCAATAGTCGAGCTCTCCCATCACATCTATAGCAAATCAGCAATAAAGTTTGCTGCTATCTTCTATTTAAACAGCAGCTAATGGGCTAAATTAAGAATCATGGGATAGGGAAGGGAGGATCAAGTATATGTCAAAATATTCATTCTAACACAGAAAAATTCTAAGGCTCATACATAAGTTTAAATAGTATATTAAAATGAATTGACTTATTCTTTATAGCATCGTGCAATGAAAGAGAATAACAAACTCCATATATCTTCCTAAAGTAGGACACCTTTAGGAATAAAGATATTTCAGATTAGTGATAAAGGGGTAAGAAATCCTATAGATGTGGCATAATAGTCTAATGGCTAGGATATTTAGCGGTATAACATAAAACTTACTTTTAATAATAGGTTCTGCCACTAACCTTCGATAAAGCATTCTACAGGCTATGAAGTACTTTTTGTTATATCTTTTTATCTTTATAAAAACCTTGAAATTACTTTATTTTCCCAATTTTCCACATAGGACACTGAAGCTTAGTGAGATTAAGAGATTCATCTGTAGGTTATATGGTAGAGGTTATAGTGATAGAGGTGGGACCAGACCCCAGGTTTTCTGATTCCTAATTCAGTGAGCTTTCCACTACACCAAACTACCTCTATTTTACTTAGATCCAAGAGGGAAAAAAATAATTATCACCCATGCTTAACATGAATGTTGTCAAAGTTAACTGAATTTTCAGCAGTCTTTTAACTGCTATAACCCCATAGTGGGATACATAAATATCGTATTAGACATTACGAAAATGCAGTATGTCATAATAATATATAGTAAAGCGACAAAGTTTCTTATTAGCTTATTGAAAATAATAAGGTAAGGAGTAGATGTTGCCAGAAAATGGCCTACGTGAAAAAATATACTTCTTAGCTTTCAAAAGAATGTATTGCCCTGGAAAAATTACATATTACACATCTACACAGCAATACATTTTAAAAGAATATCAATAAAATCATGATCAAATAAGACTGGTCCAACATACAATTTAATAATGCAGGATAAATGTGATCAACAGAAGAGCACAATTAGAAAAATATAAAAAGACGATGTTAGTATAGGAGTTAACATATGAGAAAAAAGTACATATTCATTTGCATTATCCCTTTTTTTGATTTTATTTACATCTTGAATTAATTACACCAGCTATAATAAATATTTTCATCAATGCTTCTTTCTAATTTTTCAGACCTATTGTATGTGTACATTCAACAGAGTTGGAATGTTTAAGAGCTCAAAAGAAAAACTTTATGTTGGTCAGACTTCCTTGGTTAAATGTATTCCTAAATTTCACTGCAATTATATTCTCCCCTATTCTAAAGTATTAAGAATGAATGCTAAAAAATAAAAAATTAATTTTACCTCATAATTACAATGGACTTTTTTTTTTACTTCAACAGACCTGTTTATTTTAATTAAAATGGTTTAGGATCCTAAAAGCAAAGATTTGAGGGAAATAATTTTCATACAACTCAACTCTATACCAAAAAACTGAATCAATAGCCAGAATTATAGAAAAGCACAAATTTACCAGTTAATTGAATTATAAGAGTAGTACTAAGGAAGTTAACAAAAAATTCTTATTAAAAAATTATTCATCTTTTATGTTGTTTCTGAAGCATTCTATAGGCTATGAAGTGCTTTTTGTTTCTGTGATATTTATGTATCACTAAATTAATCTGTGATTTTCATTTTTCATCACCTATAGTATAACATAAAATAAAGATCAAATATATAATTTAGAAATTTAAAGCTACACACACACATATGTACAAACATATATATATGTATATATGTGTGTGTATTATATTCATATAAGTATTTTACACATACACACAACTTTTCCAGAAAAGGGATAATGCATCTCTAAGACAAACACAGCCTTAAATAAATACAAACCCTGATAAAAAGAAAGCAGCATGCCAGAGTTCTCTGAAGACAGCGCCAATACTGTAAGAAGTGCTGGTACCGTGGTTCTGCACTGTTCCTTCCTGTGTGTTATCTGTAGTACTAGAGCCATCTCCTTCCCTATGTACTTCCAAATGTGCTGCTTTTCTTAATTTCCTTCATCAGAAGAGATTAAAAGTGGAAGGTAGCTTGATAAGTGTTAATAACCACTTGCTCTATAGTGTGTTCAGCAATTTATGTAAACATAAAAGACAGGCCTTAAGACATAGTAAGATTTAGATTTACTGGTTAATATTTAATCAAAACAGCATGTAGTACATTCAAAAACCAATTTCTATTGGCACTAACATATTTGTTTCATGCTCATACTGACATATCAGTGGACATTTAGTTGTAAGGATCACACTGAACAGCTATTTACAAAAGAATGTCTTTCTTATTTGCGTGCCACTTATTTACAGATGAAGAAAGAAGACCATGCTTAGAGCTAATTATAATCTAATTTTTTTAAATGTCATTAAAATACTATGACTATATTTTATCTTTATAATGGAAATGAAGGATTGGTTTAAAATTCAAAACCTTAATACTTGAAATTTGTAAAAAATAGCAATCACTTAACAACAATGATCAAAAGAGAAATCACTTCAATTGCCCTTTAAAATGGAAGTCCAGTGTTACTGATTGGCCAATGAGACTTAATAGGCTTATTTAGGCAAAGGGAAATATTCTATTAATTCAAAATTTAATTAGCACTCAATAAACGGGATTTAAAAGAACTTTACTTAACCCATGTTTATGCTCCATCTTGTTATTGTAACTCCAAATTAGTCTTAAATAGTACGTTCTGGTAATGTTAAATATACCACAAGACTAGTCACTGTCAGCAATTCTAAGTAACTAAAAATTCTCTTGGGGAAAAAAATAAGTATAACTATTTCAAAAAATTACAAGCTATAAAATAGGGAATGTAATTTTGGAGGTCAATCTTGAAGACGTGGGCTTCACACACAAAAAGTAATTTAACAAGAAAACATTTTATTTTCTGCAGATTAAAATAGCAATAATCAAGAAACCTATAAAACATTGTGCTGTTCCTTCCTATGTGTTATCTTGTAGTTCTAGAACCAGAATCATTTTATACACACACAATCCTAATTTAATGAACAACGTTATCATTTTAGAGCACTGTACCTTCTTCTTTTGCCCCCACTGCTAAAAGTAGGCTTAGGGGTTCTGGTTGAAACAATCTGGCAATGTACAGTTCCCAGTAGCAACATTAGCCATACTGGCCCAATCACTTCAGTCAGAGGTATACTATGTGGGCCTGGAGCTGAACAGAATAATACTATTGCGGCAACTGCAAAACAGGAAAGAAAATGTTTAATTATATCCATTGATGTTTCCAAAATTTTATGCCCTTTGGGCATAGTTCCAAATTGTTCTACAGAAATGGTTGAATCGGTTCACAACTCCACCAACGGTGCATTAAAGTCTCATTTTTCCCACATCCCCTCCAACATTTGTCTTTCACCTTTTCTGTCCTATTAGTCAATCTAATAGGTATGAGGTAGTATCTCAGAACTGTTTTAATTTGCATTTCTTTAATCAATAGGGAGGTAGAGTATTTTTTTCATATGGCTATAGATAGCTTTAATTACTTCACCTGAAAACTTCATATCTTTTTATCATTACCAATTGGGGAATGGCTCTTATTTTTACAAATTTGACTCAGTTCTCTATATATTTGAGAAATGAGGCCTTTATCAAAGAAATCTGCTTCAAAATTTTTTTCACAGTTACTATTGCTAACTGTATTTCCCTCTATCCTACTCCCCCTGCTGTTTATTCTATTCTCTCTTTTCACCCTGTCCCTCCTCAAAAGTGTTTTGCTTCTGACTACCCTCACCCCTAATCTGTCTTCCTTTCTATCACACACCCTCCTTCTTTATCCCCTTTCCCTCCTACTTTCCTGTAGGGCAAGATAGATTTCTATACCCAAATGAGTGAGCATGTTATTCCCTTTTTCAGCCAATTCTGAAGAGAGTAAGGTTCACTCACTCCCCTTACCATCCCCCATCTTCCCCTCCACTGTAAAAAGTGTTTTCTTGTCCCTTTTAAGTGAGATAATTTACTCCATTCTACCTCTTCCTTTCTCCCAATACACTCTGCTCACCCTTAATTTTATTTTTTAGATATGATCTCTCCATATTCAACTCACATCTGTGACCTCTGTCTATATATACTCCTTCTAACTACCCTAATAATGAGAAAAGTCTTACAAGTTACAAACATCATCTTCCCATGTAGGAATATAAGTAGTTTAACCTTATTAAGCCCCTTATGATTTCACTTTCCAATTTACCTTTTCATGCTTCTCTTGAGTCTTGTATATGAAAGTCAAATTTTCTATTCAGTTCTGGTCTTTTCATCAAGAATGCTTGAAAGTCCTTTATCTCATTGAATATCCATTTTTTCCCCAAAGGATTATACTCAGTTTTTCTGGGTAGGTGACTCTTAGTTATAATCCTAGCTCCTTTGCCCTCTGGAATATCATATTCTAAGCCTTCTGATCCTTTAATGTAAAAGCTGCTAAATCTTGTGTAATCCTGACTGTGACTCCACAATACTTGAATTGTTTCTTTCTGGCTGCTTGTAATATTTTCTCCTTTGTTAGAAGTAAAGCTTTGCTTCCAGGGTGGAGGGCACACTGTCCCAAGTTTCAGGGGGTCTGAGTAGCTGTTTTCAGAGATACTTCTAAGGACCTGTAAGTTTTCAGTCCTTCCAAGTGGTATGATCTAAAGAGAGGTGTTTACTAGTCTCCTGGCCTACTGTCTCTGGTCTGTGAGCTACCACAAGGGCTTTTCTGTCCTGGAACTGTGAAGAGTGTCCCCCCTCCACTATAGCCATAAGCTCTATTATGCTAGTGCTCCTCTTCACCCTGGGACTGTCCCCTAGAAATGTGATCCAGATCAGAGTATGGACGAAGAAAAAGAGTTCTGCCTCAGTGCTAGCAAAAAGACCTCTGTAATCTCCTTCTGACCAGTTGTTTGACCCCCTTACTGTCTATGGGCTGAGAGCTCTGAAAGCTGCTGCTGTCAATTCAGTCACTCCCAAGGCCTGTTCCTGGTTTGCTGGGGCCAGGGACTGTGCTGGCTTGGCCTGTGCTGGACTGCATTCCACTCTCACCCAGGTGTGACAGACCCTTCCTACCAACTTAAGTTGTCTTTGGCATCTGTGGGCTGAGAAATCTGGAAATAGCTACTGCTACCAGTGATTCAGTCAATCTGAGGCCTGCTCCAGGTCTCCACTGGCGCAGCCTTTACTGGACTGCACTCCTCTTTCATCCTGGTGCAAAACACCTTCCCTGCCACCCTTCCAAGTTGTCTTGAGCTGGAAATTTGTTTCACTCCAACTTTTGTGGGTTCTGCTGCTCTAGAATTTGTTTAGAGTCATTTTTAAAGGTATTTGGGGGCAGGTCAGTTGAGTCTCTGCCTTTACTCTGCCATCATGGCTCCACCTCTAGTATGCACAGTTTTATAGCTCTTTGAGCATAGCTCCAAATTGCTCTCCAGAATGGTTAGATCAGTTCACAACTCCACCAACAGCACATTAGTGTCCCAATTTTCCCACATCCTCTCCAACGTTCATCATTTTCCTTTTTTGTCACATTAGCCAATCTGAAAGGTGTGAAGTGGTACCTCAGAGTTGTTTTAATTTGCATTTCTCCAATCAAGAGTGAGTTAGAACACATCTTCATATGCCTATAGACAGCATTGATTTCTTCATCTGAAAACTGCCTGTTCATATCCTTTCAACATTTATCAATTGAGAAATGGCTTGTATTCTTACACATTTGACTCAGTTCTCCATATATTTGAGAAATGAGGCCTTTATCAGAGACGTTTGCTGTAAAGATTGTTTCCCAGCTTTTGGCTTTCCTTCTAATCTTGGTTGCATTGGTTCTGTTTGTGCAAAAGCTTTTTAACTTAATATAATCAAGATTATCTATTTTACATTTCATAATGCTCTCTATCTCTTGTTTGGTCATGAACCTGTAACTCACTTCACTTCTCCTTTTAGAATCTGTATGCTATAACACTTATGCATACATGTTTAGTATTGATAATACTTCATTATCTATGGTGCCTTCGAGCAAGATGTAGTTTCCTTCCTTACCTCTTTTAATTAAGTCTAGTTTTGCTTTTGCTTTGTCTGAGATCAGGACTGCTACCCCTGCTGTTTTTACCTCAGCTGAAACATAACAGACTCTGTTCTAGCCCCTTACCTTTACTCTGTGTGTGCCTCTCTGCTTCAAATGTGTTTCTTGAAAACAAAATATTGTAGGATTCTGGTTTTTGATCCACTTTGCTATCTGATTCCATTTTATGGGAGAGTTTATCCCATTCCCATTCCCAGTTACGGTTTATTTCCCTCCATCCTATTTTAGATCCTTTTGTCCTCTCTCTCCTTTCACCCTTTTCCCTCCTCACTAGTGTTTTGCTTCTGTCTACCCCCTTCCCCATCTGCCCTCCCCTCTTTCAGCTGCCCCTTACTTAATCTCCTCCCTACCTACTTTCCTGTCAGGTAAAATAGATTTCTATATTCAACTGATTGTATATATTATTCCCTCTTTGAGTCAAAATTGATGAGAGCAAGGTTCAAGTGACACCCATTGCCCACTCTCCCATCCTTCTCTCCACTATGTTTTTCATGCCTCTTCATGTGAAATAATTCACCCTATTCTACCTTTCCCTTCCTTCTGTACTCAGTGTACTCCTCTTTCTCAGCCTTTAGTTATTTTTTAATGTCATCCCCTCAAATTCACCTTATACCCATACCCTCTACGTATGTTCCTTCTAGCTGTACCACTAGTAGTACAATTTTTAAGAATTACAAATATCAACTTCCAATGTAAGGATGTAAATAGTCTAGCTCCATTGAATCCCTTGTGTTTTCTTTTACTTTTAAGGCCTTTCTTAGGTCTTGATATTACAGATAAAATTTTTTGTTCAATTCTGGTCTTCCTACAAAAGCTTGAAATCCTTCTCTTTCATTGAATAACCACTTTTTCCCTTGAAGCTAATGCTTAATTTTGCCAGGAAGGTGATTTTTGGTTATAATCCTAGCTCCTTTGCCTTCCCAAATATCATCTTCCACGATACCTCATTCTTCAATGTTACAGCTGCTAAGTCCTGTGTAATACTGGTTGTGGCTCCCCATTGTTTGAATTGTTTCTTTCTGAGCACCTTTCCTTGACCTGATAGTTCTGAAATTTGGCTATAATGTTCCTTTGAGTTTTTATTTTGGTATCTCTTTCCTGAGGTGATTGGTGGATTCTTTCAATGCCTATTTTGCCCTCTGGTTCCAGGATATCAGGGCAGTTTTCCTTGATAATTTCTTGAAAGATGCTGTCTAGGTCCTCATTTTGATTATGGCTTTCAGGTAGTTCAATGATTCTGACATTGTCTCTTCTGGATCTATTTTCCAGGTCAGTTGCTTTTCCAATAAGGTTATTTTAAATTTTCTTCTATTTTTTCACTCTTTTGAATTTGTTTGGTTGATTTGTGATGTCTCATAGAGTCATTAGCTTCCACTTGCTCAACTCTAACTTTTAAGGAGTTAGCTTTTTTACTTCCTTTTCCATTTGGCCCATTTTACTTTTGAAGGAGCTGTTTTCTTTGACAGATTTTTGTATCTCCTTTTCCATTTGACCAGTTCTACTTTTTAAGCAGTTGTTTTCTTTTTCCAAGCTGTTGATTCTCTTGCATCACTTTCATTCCTTCTCCTAATTTTTCTTTTACCTCTCTTACATGATTTTTAATTTCCTTTTTGAGCTCTTCCATGAGTTCTTTCTAGGCTTGAGAGCACTTCCCATTTTGCTTTGGGGTTTTGCCCACAGGTGTGCTTCTGACATTGTTATCTTATTCTAAGTTTGTGTCTTGATCTTCCCAGTCACTACAATAATTTTCTATGGTCAGATTTTTTTTTGTTGTTGTTGTTGCTGTCGTTGTTATTTGCTCTTTTTTGGCCTTTTAACTTTCTTTTAAATTTGAGCTCTGCTCCCAGGGTGGAAAGTGTACTGTTTCAGGCTTCTTGTGCCAGGGGTGCTGCAATGATGTTGGTCTGAGGCCCCCGGGAGACCCTCGGTATGGTGCTGTGCTGGGGGGTTTGGGTGGGGGTTGGCTGGTGCTGCTAGAGGCCAGAGGTCTGGCAGCTTACTGGGGTTAAGCCAGGATCGTAGTGGTGGTGTCTGGCTGTGCTGGGGCAAGTAGGGTGTTTCTGTGTTTCCCTGGGGCTATACTGAAGCACTTGGTGGTCTGGTCACTGTAGGTTACCTATTTGCCTATGCTTATGCTGAAGCATCTGGCAGTTCTCAGAGCTAGAGTCTGCCCATTTCCCTGGTTATGCTGAGGCATATGGGGGGGGGGGGTCCTGGTGTTGGCTTTTACCTGCTGTACTACATGGGGCTCAGGATCTCCCACTGTTTTGCTGAGGTGGGTCTTGCTGCTGGCTTGTTGGGATACTTCCTGTCCTGGAATGAGCTCCCCTTTTATTCAAGTGAGACAGACCTTCCTTGCTGATATTCCAAGTTTCTTGGGCTAAAAGATTGTTTCACCCCATCTTTTTACTGCTTCTGCTGTTCTATGATTTGTTTGGGGACACTCTTTTACGATTGTTTGGAGGTGAATATAGCAGAGTTACAGTGATGTACTGCTTACTCCACCGTCCTGGCTCCCAGAAATGAAAAATTTAAAAATTTTTTCCAATTAAATGGAAGAGCAATTTTTAACATTAATATTTTAAAATCTTGAGTTCCAGATTAAAAGTCATATCACAGTGGCACAGGATAGAGTGCCAACCCTGGAGTCAGAAGGACTCACCTCCTTGAGTTCAAATCTGGCCTCAGACACTTACTAACTGTGTGACCCTGGGCAAGTCACTTAACCCTATTTTTCCTCAGTTTCCTCATCTGTAAAAATACGCTGGAGAAGAAAATGGCAAACCAATAGAGTATCTTTGCCAAAAACAACAACAAAATCCCAAATGGTATCACAAAGAATTGGACATGACTGAAATGACTAAACAATTTCCTATCATGACACATTCTGCCTTTTAAAGAGGGGCAATATCTGTTACATGGAGCCCATATAACATAAACATTTTTGCAGAAGGGAATTTAAAATCATTTTTAAGTTTCCAAATTATACCTCTGAATGACTCTGACTTTGGAAATGATACCCAAGTTACAACTACTACTGAGTAGTAGTATCTGAGACATACCTTAAATGATACAGTTCATAATTTCTAAGGCAAAGGCTGTTTTACGGCTAGATTTCCCTAGTGTTTAGGCAAAATCCTAATACATAGCAACCCTTAGGATTATATAGATCAAACGTTAATTTAGGCTGATTTCCATAACCAAAATGTATAAGTTTGTCTACCATAGTCTTCCTAACCACCTTAAAAACAACAAACACTACCAGATAAGATTAAAATTGATTCTATATAATTTTCTTATTGATCCTTCTTTATAATTAACTGATTTTGTCCTGTAACTCCTCAAGTTATCGTTCTTTGTCTCTAATATAGTTTGGAGTTCAGCTACCTTGCAATAGGTTAAATTTAAAAATCCAGCTCTTCTTGTCTCAAGGAATTTAAATGACCTTGGGAAATGTATGTGAAAGCAAGGGAGTTGGGCCTGACATCTTTATCCCACGGAGTTATCCTTCAAGGATGTCTGGTTTGCTATCCAAAAAGGCCTCCTCCGTTATCTTTTGACCTTGCACCTGGACTCAAATAATGTGCATTTCTTAGTCTCATGAGAGAAAAAGGGGCATCATTGCTAGCCTCCATCACCAACCAATCATGTTGCCCTCAATCCCATGATGTCATCCACCCTGTTGTGTTCTTTGTTCTGTACTCCTCAAAACCTATATAAGGGAACTGTCCTTTTGCTCGGGGTCTTTGGCATAAATGGAGGCAATCCAATGACCCGTTTATTGACAGGCAGCATGCCTCTGCTAATAAATGTTATCTTGCACAGATATTTTCCTCAGTTTACTCTTTTGTTAAATTTCAACTCAGACACAGTACAACATGTAGAGAATTTCCTTAGGGCTTTTATAATAGTGAACTCTATAAGCAAACACCTAACAGGCTTTTTAGATAAATATCTTATTGACTGCAATTTTATCTACAATTTCAAACAGCTGTGATATACGGAAAAAACTATAGTAGGGATGCTGTTTTAAACTTGGCTCTTCTACTAACTGGGTTATACAGCTGGAAAGGTGCTGTGATTTTTCTGGGCTCATTATTTTATCTATTTTTTTAAGTGAATGCTGGGAAATTTTAATGACCAAACTTGGACTCAAAGAAAAGCCACCTTATCTCCTGCTTTGTAGAGATGGAGGCACCATGGGCAGAAAATATTGTATACAATTTTTACATACATATATGTGGGTATATGCACATATATTTACATATATATTTCATTTTGCTATTTTTTAGTTTCCTTTTTTTTCAGTTTTCAACATTCACTTTTATAAGATTTTGAGTTCCAATTTTTTTCTCCCTTCCTTTCTTCCCTCCCTCCTCCCCAAGATGGCAAGTAATCTGATATAGTCTATACATATACAATCATATTAAACTTATTTCCACATTAGTCATGTTGTGTATTTCACCTTTAAAAAAAATGATCATGCCTAGATGATCTTTGACATTCCTTGCAGTTTTAAATTTCACAATTCTTTGAGTAAAACAAAATGCATTGAACTTTGGTATTCAAGGGTCATAATAATAGTAATCAAGAATAATATTTTTATTCTATATGCCCATGTTAGAATAAATGTTCCTTATAACAGAAAGTGTTTGCCACATAAACATAAAAATGTGGTATATACTTAGGAAACATTTCATAACAATAATGAGAAAGAACTAAGAAAGCTGTTAAGTAAGGCTAATATATATATACATATATAAACCTCAAAGCTAAGACTGTATTTCTTGACTTCATGAACATACTAGTATGAAGAAAAATATGGCTTTTTTAAAAGATGTGTTTTCCTTCAAGTTCCGCTACCACATCATTTAAATCAAGGCTCAAACAATTCACTTTGGCTCTAGAAACTAGTCAATAAACATAAAATATATCATTTTTCAGTCTTTTAGAAGACTATATATATATATATAAAATTGGGGATGGGGGGCAAGAGAAGAAGAGGCAACATGTGGCCATGGTATATTTCATGCTGATCTAAAAATTAGCATAATAAAGAACATCTTGAAGGATCAAAGAAGCAAAGTAAAAATGGTCAGAGGCTGAAGACTAGATCTCAACTGAAAGAGGGACAATGATGGTTCATAAGTCCTGAGTTAGCTTCTATTTTGGCTTGTAATTCTTTTTATTATAGTAATAAAACTCTAATGCATATGAACCAGAAGAACAGAGAAGACAGATATACTATTGGTGAGATCATAATAAAAATACTAGGCACCAGGATGAAACTAAATACCATGGTGACCTGATACCTCAAACCTGCTGAGTGATAACATAATAATCATGCAATCTTAAAATTTTGATTACAACATGTTTATGGACAAACTCAGAAGTAGAAAATTTATTTAAATAAAATTTGAATAAAATATGTTAAATACTAGTGAAATAAACAAAATAGTAAAATATTCCTAACATAAAGATGTTTCATCATTAAAGAAGACCTGAAGGCCCCTACAATTACCTTCTAGTTCTTACAGTTTAAATTGAGGAACTAACTGATCATGTGAGTAATAGCTTAAGACAATGTTCACTGTATGGGACAATGTACAATGTACATTGGGGATAAATAATCTCTAAGGTAGCAAGAACTTACTTCAATGAGATAAGTATGTTCTGAGTTCCGTAAAAGTAGATTATTGTTATGGGAGATGACCTTAAAAAGACCTTCTTTCTACCTTACTCCCTATTTTTCTAATTTCTATTTTCTCTCATCTATTCATATATTCAATATTTCATTAAATTTTAACTTGAAAATAATGATCTTGTTTTTCACACATAGTATTAAACTGGTTTTGTAGCTGGACTAAAGAAAAGACATGGTTTAATGTTAATATGTATAAAACAAAGATACATTATTTAAAACATCCTGAAAAACATGTTTAGAACTAAAAAGATTTTTGTGATTTGTTCATACCTTGAAGGAGGTAAAGAACAAGTAGCCAGAAAAAGATGACCTTTGAAGTTACTTGTAACCACCACCTGAAGAAAAAGGGGAAAAACACAACTCGAACAATTCCCTTTCTTGTTAGGGAAGTCCAAGGACTCTCAGGTTTTGCCTTAGCAAATGCAGATCCTGGAGAGATAAAAAGGCAAAGTGCACATATCTAATCATTTTATCTATAAAATGAAATTAAAGTTTTAGAGAACAATTTAAGATTCCCCCCCCAAATATTTCCCGTTACTAAAATACTATTCAGATGTCTTTTCATGGTTTAAGAGGTGACCCCCCAATGACACATCTGACAAATCCTATCAAACTAGAAAACCCAGTGATGGAATGAGCGAATGACTTTTTCACAACGACACTAGGTGAATTCGGAGATGAGCCTTACAAGGTGATACAGAGAGTATGATGATCAGATAGATAGACAGAAAGACATACAGATAGGTGGATGGATGGATAAATTTTTTTTTTTTTTTGCTCCACCAAAGCCTGAAGCACTGGTATACTTGGAAGATGTGTAACCAAAATCAATGACGAAAGTATCCATGCCAATTAAGTATGGATCTCTAGACGTACTTGAACTATTTCACATTATATAACCCAATTACCATATGCATTTTAATGTGGGTAATTTTAAATGAAATAAGTACAGAAATTTCCCCCCACACTTTTACAAATATAAAAGAAAGTCTATAAATTTCCCAGCCTTCTGAGATACCACTTGAATTCTTTATATAAACAAATAGTATTGTGTTCTGTTAAACAAAGTTGAATTTTGGATGTATGTACTGTACTACCTCTTGGAACAATCTTATCGTAGGAGAGAAAGAAATAATTGTATTTAAATGCTTTTAATTATACCACTTTTTATCCTTTATATATGTGTATATGTGCGCGTATTTTAATCCCTTTACTTTCTGTATTTGTGTTGTTCTACTTTTAAATTCTCTTCTTTCCTAAATTTGCCATATTTTCTGTAACTGCTTCCTGAATTTCTTTCTTTATATTTACTATCCACACCTATTAAACCAAATGCAAAAAATCATGAAGGTATATCATTATCTAAGCTGCAAGATTAAGAAAAAATATATAAAATAAAATTGCTAGTATTCTCAGAGGGTTTACTGTCCTTCACTAGGAAATGAGTTGAAATGAAATTTAACAAGATGATAAGAAGGATTAAGACGAAAAGACAAAAAACAAAAAGAGATAAAACAAAGGGGGAAATGTACAATCTGAGGTCAAACTAAATACAAAAACAAGAGAAAAATCAGCTTCAGAGGTAGAAAAAATGTCAGTAGAACAGGAACATGACTTTGTCTTTGTGGGAAGTCGCTACACCAACAAACGAATGCTTAGTTAATGGTCTTTAAGTATTCCCACGGCTGAAAAATTCATCACTCTGAAGCTACCCTAGTGATGATCCTCTCTGCATTTATCTAGTTTTGGATTAAAGAAATAATATCCATCACTGGGCCTTCTCAATTTGGTAAGATCTATCAGCGCTTATCCTCTGAACCCAGGATTTAATTTATTTAAAGAAGAGGGGAAAAAGTTAAAAACTAGTAACAGTCTTGGCATGTTACAAATGTACTTATTCCAGGGTAATATACTCACTTTCCTTTAAAATATATTTTGTTCATTCCCATTTTCACATCTTTGTCATTTCCTGTCACCTAGAATGCCATTCTACCTTTCTTTGTAAAATCCCATTTGTCAAGGTGTACCTCAAGTCCCAACTCCTCTGTGAAGTCTTCTCTGACTACTGTGGCCAAAAAGTATCTTTCTCTTCTTTAAATTCCTAAAACATTTGTTACTGTCACATATTCAATACATCAGATGTTCTGCACTGTACACATTTCATATGTTTTTGTTTTATCTCCCTACACAGATTCTAAGTTTCTTATGAGCAGAGATATATCTACCTTGTTTTTATTTCTCACAAGGCTTTGAAAAGGACCTTGAATGCAGTGACAATTATTTACAGACTGATTGTTCTGGATCACAAATCACTTTTTTTTTGACAAATTTTTAATGACATTTTAGTATCAGAAAATCTAGTCTTCACTTACGGGCTGGTGACTACAATTGTTAAAATAATCCTCTTTAAATCTGGGACAGAAAAGAACTGGTCCCATTCTTAGATTCTAATTTTATATTTAAAGTTATCTTATATGAATCAAATGCTATAATCACCTAAAGTTCATATCCAATACTCACCTCTTACAAGATCAACATCTATGAGGTCAGGCTTCACATGTGCTGTTTTCTTTGGTTTATTTCTTAACCCCTATGAAATATATTATAAGAAACATGATATATAAAAAATATGAAAAAGTTAAATTCAACATAACAGACATATATATTTTTCCATTAAATTTCTAATGACCTAATATACAGAAACTCAATACAGAATATACTTGGCATTTTTGCTTAAAATGTAATGAAACAGATTTTAAAGAATTTTACTACTCAATTATATGTTTACTACTCAAATATATGTACTGTTCTATGCACTTGGGACACAAAACACAAACTGAAAAAAGGCCTTCAAGAAGTCTGTTTACTGGGGGAGTACATGTAATTAAGTAAACAAAGCAATTTAAGAAAGAAGAGCCTAATAACAAGGAGTATCAAGAAATGTTTCCTGTAGGAGGGGATTTGTCACATGAGCCTTAAAGCAAGCTAGGGATTCTAGGAAGTGGAGGTGAGGAAGGAGTACATTCTAGGAAGGGGCAGATAGACTATGAACAGGCATGGAGATGGGCCAAGTTCAGGGAATAGCAAGAAGGAGAATTTGGCTGGAACTATAACTCATGAAAGAGAATCAATGAAATAAATCTGTAAATGTGGCTGAAGGAAGCCCTCCTGTCTAAACTCTTCCAACAGCATCCTCATTGGACTTTAAACTTCCAGTCTTTCCAACGTCTAATGTCACTTTCCAAATACCTGACAAATAATCTTCCTCAGGTACAAGTCTGGCCATATCACTCCCTTCCCTCACGAACCTGCAGTGATTGGTGCTATTGCTTCTAAGATAAAATTCGAACTTATTGACTTGGTAATAATTATAATAATAGTTAACATTTATATAGCATTTATTATGCACCAGGCATTGTAATAAGTGCTTTACAAATATTGTCTCATTTGATCCTTACAAAAACCCTGAGAGGTAAGCGTTATTATTATCCTCATTTTACAATTGAAGAAATTGAGTTAGATTACGTGACTTGCCTAAGGTCACACAGCTAGAAAGTATCTACAACTGGATTTGAACTCAGGTGTTCCTGACTCCAGGTCCACTGCTCTCTGCTGTGCCATTTAGCCGCTTTTACAATCTAACTTCCATTTAGCTTTCCAGATTTATTTTAGATATCTCAGCTCAACTGACCTACTTGTGGTTCCCCAAACTTTACACTCCACCTCCTTGTCCAGCTGTCTTTAAATACATTGTCCTCTCCATGCCTGAAATATGATCCTTCTTCACTGTCATCTTTTAGAACCCCTAGCTTCCTTCAAGGCTCAGTTAATGTGCCATCTACAAGAAGCCCTTTTTGGTCCCTTTAATTGTTAGCGTTCTCTCCTTCTTCCTCAAATTATTATGAACACACTTCTCTGTTTAAACAGTGTATACCCAATACGATCAAACATCCTTTATGGTAGGGGCTGTTTTCTTTTGTTAGTCTATTTATTCCCAGAACCCACTGCATACAGTATTTAATAATTGCTTGTTGGACTAGACTAGATTCATCCTAAAGTCAACAAGGAACTACTAAAGCAGGGGTTCTTAACCGTGTGTGTGTGTGTGTGTGTGTGTGTGTGCACACTTGTGCGTGCATGCGTGCAAGAGAGAAGCATGTCTTTGACAGGATGGTTGATCATACTGAATTGCTTCTCAGAATGTTTTTAAATGAATGAAATAAAATATATGGGATTATCAAGGAACCAATTACATTCAAACACAGCTGTCAAAGCATTTTTTAAAAACAAATTCAAAGATGCCAGGTAAAGAACCCCTGCACTAATGCTTCTTGAAGACAGGGGTGACACGACTTCAAGAAGATTATTTTGGAAGTTTTTTAATTCGCTGTCCCAGCTGCTTTCAAGTCTCAGCTCAAGGCCCACCTTCTGCAAAAACTTTTCCTAGTCCTCCTTTAATCTTAGTGCTTTCCCTCTGAGGCTGTCCTTAATTTATGCTGTGTATATCTTATTTGAACACAGTTGTTTGCATGTTGTCTCTTCCATTAAACTGTAAGATCCTTGAGAACAGGGGCTATTTTTTGCATTTCTTTGTATCCCCAGTGCTTAGTATAGTGTACACAGTAGGCACTTAATAAAAACTAGTTGACTGACTGACCAGTGGGGGAGCAAGACTCTATGTAAGGAGATCTCCCCTCACCCCAGATGGTGAAGGCCACAGGCAACCCAGCCCTCACACTCTTTTTTGTTTTTAATTAAATTTTATTTTTTCCCCAATTACATGTAAGAACAATTTTTAACACTCATTTTTTAAAATATGAGTTCTAAATTTTTGCCATCTCTTCCTCTCCTCCCCCCTCACTTAAAAGATAAGCAATTTGGTATTTGTTATACATATGCAGTCATGCAAAACATATTTCCATATTAGTCATGTTGTGAAAGAAAACACAGATAAAAAGGAAGGAAGGAAGGAAGGAAAGAAGGAAGGAAGGAAGGAAGAAAATGCATCCTGGCTCCATTAGTTCTTTCTCTGGAGGTAGACAGCATTTTCCATCACAAGTCCTTCAGAAATGTCTTGCGTCATTGTATTGCTGAGAACAGCTAAGTCATTCACAACTGATCATTGTACAACATCGTTATTACTATGTACGATGTTTTCCTGGGTTCTGCTCATTTCACTTCACATCAGTTCATGTTAGTCTTTCCAGGTTTTTCTGAAACCATCCTGCCCATCATTTCTTATAGCACAATAGTATTCCATCACAATTTTATACCACAATTTGTTTAACCATTCCCCAGTTGATAGGTATCCCCTCAATTTCCAATTCTTTGCCACCACAAAGAGTTGCTGTAATATTTTTTTACACATAGGTCTTCCCCACCTCTTTTTAAAAAATCTTTTTGGGATACAGATCTTGCAGTGGTATTGCTGGGTCAAAAGGCACGCACAGTTTTATAGTCCTTTAGGCCTAGTTTCAAATTCCAGCCCCTACTCTTGACATAACTGTGACTAACATATGAACAACTTGCTGAAGGAACCAATGCTGAAGCTTAAATCCTTGAAGAACAAGGAGAGGAGTCACGGGATCACTTCAGTAAATGGATGAAGCCATTTTTGTTCTGCCTCACAATGTACTCTACAGAGTATACTTCAAGATAAAAATATCTTTCTCAGCTGAAATATATACATGAGATAGAATGGCAAAAACAGCACTAAATTTGGAGGTAGCAGACCTCTTTTGAAAACAAATTCTGATGCTTATTACCAATGAGAAATTAGGCAAGTCACTTAAACTCTGTAGGTCTCAGGTTCCTTATCAGTAAAATGAGAAGGTTGGATTGGATGATCTCTCAGGTTCCATTCCAGCTCTACATTGGTGATCAAAAATATAATGCTGTTTCTTCTAAGTTAAAAGTTTTTTTTAAAGGTCTCACTCATTGCTAAATAGAATGTAAACAACTTGAAGGTAGGGACTTTTTCATTGTCTTTTTATATCCCCAGCATTATTAGCATAGTAACCTTGCACAAAGCAGGTGCTTAAAAAATTCTTGCTGAACTGAACCTGAGGTACATTCTAGAAATGTGATTTCTAAAGATGTAGTCCTTTTAACAAAATTAAACAAAATGATTTGGATGACACATGGATTTTTAAGATACTGAAGTCTTTCCAAGATGTGATCTACAGAGGTACAACATAAATGTTGATGTGTCTATGACATGATGTTCAACTTTAAATTATATGACATGAAATTATGTCTGTATACAAAATGCTGGGCAGCTAGATGGCTCAGTGGATAAAGCACTGGGCTTGGAATCAGGAAGACCTGGGTTCAAATTCGGACATTCACTAGACGTATGACCCTGGGCAAGGCACCTAACTTCTGTTTGCCTTAATCCACGGGAGAAAAAAATTGTCAACCATGCCAGTACCTTTGACAACAAAACCCCAATTCGGGGTCATAAAAAGTCAGGAATGACTGAACAACATAAAAAGCTTACAATGTGTGGCAATTTTTAGTACATAAATAGGCTTGAATGTCCTCTATTTTGCTCTAAAATTTCCCTTTTATCCCAAAATTATTTCACACATTCAGATGCCTTTTTTCTTGGGAGGCAGGAGATAGGGATAGGGAAGGGAAGAAGAATTTAATGAGCACCTACTCTGTACAAGGCACTGTGCTAAGCACTTCACAAATATTATCTCATCTGATCCTCACAACAACCCCAGGAGACAGGTGTTACTGTTATCTTCATTTTATATTATTATTTATTTAAGCAGTGGTTAAATGATTTGCCCAAGATCACACAGCTAGTAAAATTGTCTGAGGCTAGATTTGAACTGGGTCATCTTGACTCCATGTCCACTGCTCTTCCATCTTTTGCAAGTCAGTCTAATAGAACGCTGTAAGAGTTTTTAAAAGATTTTTTTAATTTCATTGATGAATCATCCATATTCTGAATAAATGGTAAATTTTTATAAAATGAGAACATAAGATCTAATTTCAATTTAAATAGTACACGTGACTACTGCAATAGCCTGATGGTATGTCTGCCTACCTGCCTTTAGTTTCTCGCCACTCCAATCCACCCTCTATTCAGACACCAGAGTCATGTTCCTAAAGTGCAGGTCTGACCACGTCACACACAAAATGCCACGCCCCTCCCCCCCAATTTGGTAAACTCTAGTTGCTCCTTATCACCTACAGGATCAAATACAAAATCCTCTGTTTAGCTTTCTAATCACTTCATAACCTAGTCTCCCTTCCTCTCAACTCTCCACTCTTCCTACATCTTACTCCCTGATCCAGTGATTCTGGCCATCTTGCTGTTCCACAAACAAATGACAGTCTATCTCTTTTGTTGTTTAGTCATTTTCAGCTGAGTCCGACTCTTCATGATCCCTTTTGGGCTTTTCTTGGCAAAGAAATTGGAATGGTTTGCCATTTCCTTCTCCTGCTTATTTTTACAAATGAGGAAACTGAGGTAAACAGGGTTGAATACCCAGGATCACATAGCTTGTAAGTGTCTGAGGCTGGATTTGAACTCAGGAAGATGAGTGTTCCTCATTCTAGGCCTGGCACTTCCCCTATGCCACATAGATGCCCTCCATCTCTTGGCTCCGGTCATTTTCTTTGGTTATCCTCCATGAGTGCAATATTCTGCTTCCTTAACTTTGCCTACTGGCCTTCCTGGTTTCCCTCTTCTACAAGAAACCTTTCTAGATCCCTTGATTCTAATGCCTTCCCTATTTATTATTTGTCCTATAAATAGCTTGTTCATACAACTTGTTTAATTGTTGTCTCTCTAATTAGATTGTGAGCTTCTTGAGGACGAGTACTCTTTTTTGCCTCTTCTTGTATTCTCAGCACTTAGCACAGTGCCTGGCACATAGTTGATGCTTAAAATGTTTGATGGATTGACTAATTTAAGCTGGAAAAATTCTAATTCATATAGATGGCCAATATTAGATAAGTCAACAACGTTTGGGTACTACTTACTAATGAGAGCTCAAAAAAAAAACTTTGCATGATAAATAAACAAATGAAAATGAAAGTAAAGTCAGTTAAAATAGGAATGGAGAAGGAACTATTCAGGAACTACTAATTTATATAGAAAATCAGGCATAAGTTATCAATTTTCAATAAAGGAGTTTAGTTTTCCTTGAATATACACAAATTTAATGCTGCTAATTTTACAGAAGATATAACTTTAATAATATATAGTATATCTGCATGTACATATACATAAAAAGAACCTAGTACATGCTGAACATAATAGTGCCAAATTAAAAGAGTAAGTTGAAAGTTAAAATGGCTTTTAAATCTAGAAAAGTATGTTTTGGTTCATTGATCTATACTTCCTATGCATGAAATGTGTTTAGGTTCCACCTAAAATTATAACTAACAGTTTCAGATACAGGAAATCCTGTTCAATCTTTTTTCATGATTATTCAAGACAACAATTTTTTTTAGAAAAGTATTACAATATTGGGTGGTGCCTCAAAAATAAAAAACCTGAAGTGCTTATTAAAAAGCAGATCATGCAGTGAATAGTTTCCACAAATCAACACCTTCTTTTTAAAGATTATAAAATCTAGAAATATCAATTATATAATTAAAGTTAAACTACCTAATATTTCAAAAGAAATATATTTGGCCTTTTTTCATTTCTCTTAGTTACTAATAGCACTGTTAAATAAAGAGACTTAAGTAGTAAAAAGGGCTTCCCAAAATAGTCAAATTTCTCACTCTTTCAAAACCACGACCATTTACATAACAATTTATTAACGTATTTACTTGCCTAGAAAACCTCAATCAAAAAAATAATAATTCTGAACTATACATAAAATGTTTCCTCCAAATAATTTCTTTGCAGCAGGTTTCAAGCTTCTCTAAAATACAACTAAGTGACTTTGTTTGCTGATCATAAAAATCTTACATGCCTCTTAACTGATTATTGTCAGAGCTTTAAAGAGAAAACTTTGAGGCAATAGTTAGTCTTTCAACCCCGAGTTTTTGTTGTTGTTGCTTTTTTTTAAAGCCAGTCAGTTCCCATAAGAACAATTTACTGACACAATCCCATTTTACCCTCCCCTCTATTTTAGCAATAAAATGTTTCCTAATTCTGAGAAATTATAAGGTAGAGTAGTCTGGGCTGTGTCCTTCCAAAAACACTTCATAGGTTTATAAACATGGTATTTCTTTGCAAATGTCATTTTTACATCCCCATTAATTAAAATCATTTCTAAAAATTACAAAGAACCCCAGAATTTAGTGTTATTTTGTGCTAGCATACAATTTTGATTCAATAAAATTTGCCAGATTTTAGAATGGCTACAACTTTGCTTTTAATCTAATATCAAACTTTCTAATAAGCAACCTTTTCTCCAGTTTCAAGCCAAACTAGATAAGCTCAATCAATCCACATGACGTTTTTACAATGGCTTAGTTCATGCATATCACCAAATTAATTAGTAATATCCAAGAAAAAAGAAAATAATTTCAAAGAAATTTTTACTATTCAGAATCAGTGCATGTTGTTAATATAGTATTTTCTATTTTCTCAAAGACTTGCAAACAGCAATCTACGAGTATATATGTTCATTAATGTCAACAATTATGCGAGGAGAAGCAAGCTGTAACAGAAGAGGTTTTTAACTAATTTCTAAAAACTCAATTTTAAAATAATTGACCAGATTTTCCAAAACTGTTTTATACTCAATAGCATTCTGTTAGTAGCATCAAAATGCAACATTTCAATTATGGAAAACATACTTTGCACAAAGTCACTTAGAGGGAAAAAACCCCCGAAATACTTACCAATCTAATCAACTGTACAGAACAATGACAGCATCAAAAGGGAGAAAAAAATAAACTAGAAGTATAAGGTAACAAGGGAAAGGGGGGGGGAAGCTGATAAAAGACAACCATTAGAATTCATAAAGGGAAATAAGAGGACAAAGATGCTAGAATGCAAAATTCAAAAGAACAAAGGTAGAGACTGAGAATTATACCAAAGATGATCTTACCTTTTAATTTATATTGTAATGTTAAATATTCATTTACATCATAATGACTCATTGAAGGAATTTTTTAAAAAAGAAACTGATACTGTAACATCATTAAATTTATAGGAATTCTGCTTCAAAGAACAAAAAAATACAACTTTGCTACCTTGATTTCTCTTTGTTCTACGGATTTTTCCCATATTTGTTGATCATACGCTCCAATCTAGAAAGAAAAAACAACATATTGTCATTAATATGATTTGATGTAGAAAGAATTAAAATGAGTTCATGCATCTTTCAAATATATACTAGGCAACAGTTTAATCTCTTAAAAGCCTAACCTCCTTCTTCATAACTTTCTCATTAACAAAAGCCTATGTGTTATGTTTATCCATGCCTATTAAACTGTTCTTGGCCCAAATATAATTACTGATCTCAAAATTCTAGAGGAATTATTCAGATTTATTACCCATAAGTTTATAAGCCTTTGTAGAATGCTACTTATAAAAACATAATTATGGGACCATTTTTGGAGTAACAGGAAAAAATAACTTCCATGATAATGAAAAATAGCATTCATACAAGAGCACAGCAACCACAAAAGGTATAATAACAATGATGATGATAAGCAATTTAATAATCTAAAATTTACAGGTGCTTTAAATGTTATCTCATTTGATCTTCACCTTAGCCCTCTTAAGTTAAGTACTATTATTTTCCCCACTTTAAAGATGAGAAAACTGTGGCTGACAGAGATTAAGCGACTTGCCAGGGAGGCAGGATTCAAACTCTTCAAACTGAAACTTCTTGACTCTAAGTCCAACACTCAAACCATTGGGCCAGTAGCTGACTCAATTTATAAACATGAATACAATGTGTTTGATTTATCATTAGCAGTATGAGGAAAAACAGAATTTGAAAGGATACTACCAGCTCGAAGAGACCTTTGAATTCATCTGTGCCTGAGCAAGTACTACCTGTACAGCATCCCTGAAAAGTAGTTATCCAGTTTCCACTTGAACAACTCCAGTGTTAGATAATTCCGTAACCTCCTCGGGTAATCACTGTGCTAAGCACTGGGGATACAAGTAAATACACACACACACACACACACACACACGAGTCCCTTGCCCTCTAGTTGGGGAAGACAAAAAAAAAAAAAGGCTGTAAAAGGGTGTGGGTGGTACCCAAAGTGGGGGCATGGTGGAGAAGTCGGAAAAGACCTGGAGTACTGCAGCCAGTTGAGCAAAAAATCTCTTAGTTGGAAGGGACATCTGAAGACTTTTCATAGGAAACCAGATGTGAACAAGAAAAAATACCCTCTACATCCCTGACAACTAATTATCCAGCACTGTTTAAGTTACTACCTTCTAAGGCAGCCCATTTTACTTTCGGACAGCTCTAATTGTTAAGAAATCCTGGGGCAGCTAGGTGGCACACTGGATAGAACACCGGCCCCTGGAGTCAGGAGGACCTGAGTTCAAATCCGATCTCAGACACAGCACTCACTAACTGAGTGTGGGCAAGTCACTTGATCCCAACTGCCTCACCAAAAAAAAAAAAAAAAAATCTTCACTGCCACCCAAGCTTAAACCAGACTCTTTGAAAATTCCATCTACTGCTCCTACTTCTGCCTTCTGGGATCAAACAGAACAAGTCTAATACTTCCTTCACATGACAACTTATAAGATTTTAAGTCAATCAATCAGAAAGAAATTATTAAGCACCAATATATCTGGCACAGTACGAGGTGGTGGAGAAGTAAGTACAAAGACTGGAACAATTTTCACAAGCAGCTTTCATTCTAATGGAGGGACAAGTATGTGCTGTACATAAATATATACAAAGTAATTAAGACAAGGTAATTTGGGAGGGAGGGCATTAGCAATAGAGAGGATCAGGAAAGGCTTCATGAGGAAGCTGGTCCTTGAGCGCTGTCTTAAGGAAGAGAAGGATTTTTTGAAGTAGGGGTAAGAGAATGCATTCCAGGCATATGGACTGGCCAATGCAAAAGTAACAAGGGGCAGCTAGGTGGCACAGTGGATAGAGCTCCGACCTTGAGTCAGGAGGACCTGGGTTCAAATCCAACCTCAGACACTTGACACTTACTAGCTGTGTGACCCTGGGCAAGTCACTTAATCCTAACTGCCTCACCAAAAAGCAAAAAAAAAAAAAAAAAAGAAAGAAAGAAAAAAGTAACAAATCTGAGATATTTGAGTGATAGTATGGAAGTTGAAGAGCAAATCATTTAGGGGAAAGATAAAAAATTCAGTTTTGGACATGCTAAGCTTAAGATGTCCCTATGACAGTGTGAAATGTCTGATAGTCAAATGATGATTCAGAAATGAAGTTCAGGAGAGTTATAGGAGTTGGACACATATATCTCACATACATAATCTGCACAAAGATTATGGTACAGTTAAATCCATGGGAGTTGATAAGGTTAATGAGAAAGAGGGCAGAGTGGGGCAGCTAGGTGGCGCAGTGGATAGAGCACCGGCCCTGAAGTCAGGAGGACCTGAGTTCAAATGTGGCCTCAGACCAAACACTTGACATGTACTAGCTGCGTGACCTTGGGCAAGTCACTTAACCCGGACTGCCTCAAAAAAAAAAAAAAAAAAGAAAGAGGGTAGAGGAAAAGAGAAGAGGGTCTAGGTCAGAACTGGGGGAACACTCACATCTAAGCAAAAAAGACCTATTGTGTTGCCACCAAAGTCTTTTCTTCAGACTCAATAACCACAGTTCCTTAAATCACCAATCAGAGAGCATAACCTCAAGGCCCTTTATCATCCTCCTCTGAACAATCTCCAGTCTAACAAAGTCTTTCCTAAAATGCAGCACCTAACTCTGAAAATAATAACCACATTGTGGTTTTACCATGGCAAAGTACCAGAAGACTATCAGGTCCTTAGTGCTTCACATATTGCAAAGTGATAGCTCCAGATTTCATCACTGAACTGAAATGTTCTTTCCAAAGTCACTAATGATCTCTTAATTGTCAGATCTAATGAGCTGTTCTCGCCCTCGTCCTTCTTGACCTCTCTTTGATGTTGTTAAGCAATCTCTCCTGTAGGCTTTTTCCTTTCTAGGTTTTTGTGACATTGAACTTTCCTGGTTCTCCTCCTACCCTTATGACCACTCCTCAGTTTTCTTTGTGGCTCTTCAGCCAGGTCACAACAGTGAGGGTTTGTCTAGGCTCTGACCTGGGCCCTCTTCTCTTCTTCCTCTATACTATCTCACTTGGTGATTTCATCAGCTCCTAGAGGGTTTTTGTTTCTATACAGATGATTCTCAGATCTGTTTATTATCCAGATCTAACCTCTCCTCACCTCCAATCACCCATCAGAACTGTCTACTGTAAATCCCAAGTTTAATGTCTCATAAAACAGAACTCATTACCATACCCTTGAAATGTTACCCTCTCTCCAACTTTTCTATTCTAGTTAAAGGCACCACCATCCTCCTAGTCAGCTATTAATATTATTATTATAAAGGTTTCAAGAAACACATGGATGGATTTCTAGCTAAAGATATTCACAAGTTCAATAAAGGCCAAAAATCACAAAATTACATGAAAACTACTTGACAAACCACCTTTAAAATGATGGAAGTACAGCAAGGGAATACATTTCATAAGGCCCTTTTCTTTCCAGCCCTCCCGCATTTTAAATATATTTATTCCTCTAATCTTACTCAATCACTTTCTATCACCTTCTCATTATTGTGGCACTTATTAGAGGCCAAACCTGGAGTAAGGAATACCTGAATCTTAGCACAGTGCCTGGTACATAGTAGGCCCTTAATAAATGTTTATTGATTGACTGATATTGTCTCCTCTACCAGAATGTGAGCACCCTGAGAGCTAGGACCCTGTATTTGCCTTTCTTTGTATCCCCAGCACTTAGAATAATATCTGGCACACCTGTTGAATGACCCAAGTGTTCTCAGTGCCAACTGCTACATTTCTCAATCCATATTTTTATATGCACCTACTACGTGCTAGGCGTTACGTTAGATGCCTGTGATACAAGAGCAAAAATCAGCATTGCATTCTGTCAAGGGAGACAGCATGTACATAAATAAGTTTATACAGAGTATATACAAAATAAACACAAGACATTTTTGGAAGGCTGGGTGTTAGAAGCAGGGTGCCCAAGTCTAGAAGGATGTAAAGGATTGAATACACAAACAACTATGTACATACAAGATATATATATGTTGCAATCTTGTCAAATCTCAGGCTACCAACCTAACCACTACCCTAAAAGAGGAAAATTACACAACTAAAGATTCAAGAAGACATGCTAATTTTCCAAATGGGACTAATCTTTGTAACTCTCCAAAATGTTATAAGGATAAGAAGTATTATGTAGGCAATAAATTAGATGGTGAGATGGTATGCATTGTCTTCAACATCCACCATACTCATACAAACCTACTTCAAAGCTAGCAAACACAAATATGAGATCAAATATGTCATAACAGTAGTATTGCTCTATAGCTCAGGGAGCAAAAAATACATTGCAACCTTAATCATTCAAAATAATTAAGAGGTAACAGCAGAATTAGTGTACAACCACATATGAAGAGATCTAGAGATAGTAACGTGGATGTTGATACATTTCAAGGAGAGGCAGTTTGTCGAATCAGTTAAGGTTGAATCAACCTCTGACACTTGTTAGCTCTATGACCTTGGGTAAATTAGCCTCTGGGACCAGCAACTGTCTAAGACTGTAATTTACAGATAAAACAAACTCTCTAAGACTAAGTTACAGATTAATTGCCAATTTGCATTGTTGGTGGAAATTTCCAGTTAAACCAATGAAATCAAAGGCCCAGACCAAATAAACTATATAGATAATAGATAAAGAAATACATAAATACACACACACACACACACACACACACACACACACACACACAAAATCTCTGACAATCTTAGAGAATTACATGGGAACAAGAGAGATTAATTTGCCCATGACAGCTATTATGTGTCAGAAGTAGGGCTTGCTATGAACACACACACTTATACTATACATGTATGTTTGTATTCATGTATATTCATATCATATTAAAATTTTACTATATTTAAATCATTTTTCCCATTTAGGATCTATAGTTTCACCATCATAAGGAATTCCCCACGTGAACTGCATTGGACATAGAGTGGCAATTCTTAAACCTCTGACTTCCTTCCTATAAGGGTAGCATTCTATCTACTAT